GATTTCTATGTTGCTTTGTATGTCCCTCCCCCACGGTATAACCCCTGCTTTTACTGTATTTGATGTTGGTATAATTTGTAGAGGGGAAGGGCAAAAACAAATCATTTAACTAGGGATATAGGTGGACCCATTGCAACAATGAGATGTACAAGTCGTTATGTCGAAAAACGAACTTTACAACTTTGGTGGGGGTGGGGATCGGGTGTGGGGAAGGTGGGGGGAGTATGGGAAGGGATAAGAATGGGAAATAAGGAGAAGGCAGCAATGCTTGATAAGAAATGAACTCATTATTTTGCCCATGTAATTGTAACTCCTCTGTACAGTATTTTCACAATTAAAAAAACTAAGGCTATAAAATAATACTATAATAAATATAGTTGTTTTCTCTCCTTAGGTTATATCCTTTGAATTTCCTTCAAAATACATGTACTGCAAGCATAACTAATAAAAATAAGTATTTTAGCATATGACAGAAAGCAAAGGCTTTTAGACAAAGGCCATGGATATGAGTAACAGGTAGAGGAGAAACAGATACAACTATAAAGACCTGAAGCAATTTGGATTTAAAAGTTATCCAACATTGGTTCAAGAATAAAACTAGGGTCACATTAGGAATCAATTGCTGAAGATGCAAGTGCAGGATCATGAAGTATTTTGTCACTGACATAAGCACCATTATTTGAAACTATTCTATCACAACAACCAGGTGTAGCTTCTCACCATTTGGGGCCTACTCTAGATGTAAGACTTAAGACTCCATGTCTTGGGTTTGTGCCCTAGGTATGAATTTGGTCTTTCCAACAATCTACTGTAGCAATCCTCACCTACGAAATAAAAGACTTTCTGAGTGTTGGAGATGTTGAAAATGATAACCAGGAAGAGAGCTTCTGGCCATAGTCTTCACAGAAGGAATAGGGAATCAACTATTCCAGAAGAAAGAGATGAAGAATTCTGCACATCTTTTTACAGGAAAAAATAAAGTGTATAGAAAACAAAACTACGGCAAAACTACCCCAACATCCTTAAATCAGTATTCTCTTCCTTCCTCGTCATGGTTATGCATTTTACTACTTTTTGCTTTCCCTTTCCCTCTTTCTCCCCCTCTCCCCCCACCCCGTTCTTCCCACTCTCCCCACCTTCTCTCTCTCCTCCTGTATGTTACCTGTTGGTCTTTAATTTCTCCATCCTCCTCCATCAATTTCTGCTACTATGATTAATTCTATTACTACTACCATGATAAGCCTGTAATTCCTTAGCTCAGCTTCTAGCATTTATAAAAGCTTGAAAAACTAACACTTTTTTTGCATAACACACATGAAGGCAAAACTCAGTTCATCCGATCTTTGATGGCAAAAGCTGGATTGAATAACATGAGGCCCTTATTGACAGCGGCCTCTCTCTTTCACTTCTTGAGAATCCTCATATGCTGTAATGAAAAGGTGAGCGTGATCCGTCATAGCCTTGCTTGTCAAATGACTTACCTCTTCTCACCCTTGTAAAACATTTTGAACTCCTGGCAAAAAATTTTGTTTCCCTACGAGTTTCAAATAAAAGGACATAAATCCTGTGAGTCAAAGCTACTACTGTTGCTGCTGCTGCTTGTATTAGAAGAGCAACTCCACATTTGTTATTCTAAAGCACAACATATCAACAGAAAGTCATGTGAACAAAGATAAAAAGCCTTTAAAAAACAAAAGTCTTCTGCCTAATCCACGCATTGTTCAATAAATACACAAAACTCTTCAAATATTTTTCTTTGCATTGTTCACAACAGCCAAGCGAATGAACACAATATTAGCAGTCACAGGATCCAAACTGGTGGCCATCACCCTGGCTCAGAACTTCAGTATACACTTAGTACTACTATTGACGCAGTTCATTCATATTCAACATCCATGCCTGCTACATTTTGTTTGATGAAAACAAGCTAATTAGCGCTAAACCTTCCCCAGTTCATAAATTTATTCCTAAGAACATTAAAAGGAAGTCAAGTGAGACATGTTCAGTAACAGATGTTTGCCTTTTTTTGGCTGCCTTTTTTACAGTTTGTTCTCTTTCATTACTTTTTAAGAAATTTGGTTAATGTTCCCTTTACTAGAGAACAAGTGTACCTAGCTTCCTAGGAGGGGGTGGAGGGGGGTAGGGATTCCCCAGGGCCTGCACAGTCTGTTCCTTCCCTTCACCCAATGTCTGCTCGAGGCGCTCGACACTCGACTAGCCAGGCTTTCATCTGCCTCTATAAACAGTCACATTATAGCTTTTCTCTAAAAGGAATATATATGTTATCTGGCAACCATAGCACTAGCATTATTGCCAGCACTACCATTAAGGCCTGCTTCCTACACAGACAGACACAGACAGAGACACAGACACACAGACACACAGACACACACAGACACACAGACACACACACACACACACACACACACACACACACACTTCTTTCAATTCCTCAGCTGGATGCCCATCCTTGGGCAAACACAGCTGGTTTTTCTGCAACTGGAAATGCCCCTGCCCTCCAGACCTCGGCCTGGGAGCCTCCCTGCCACAGCCTTCAGGGACATTTTGTCTGCAACACCTCATCCTCATGCTAAGGGGTCACCAAATGGCCCAGGTCCTCGATGGGCTATAAATCAGCCACTCAATTGACGGAATGACTTTCCTGATAGACAACCAATGAGTGTGTCATTTCACTTTCTAAATACATAGAAATTTCTAGAAACTGCTTATCCCAACTTCTTAAAGCATTCATTTTAATCCTAGCTATTTTTAAGAACATGATATGTAAGCCTAGGAATTTTATATCTCAGAATAGTGACAAATGCCAAAGGCTTTTTTTAGATGTCATGATGGTATCCTCAGGTTGAATACGCTGAGGTTGTGTCATATATTATCAGAAAGTTAACAAACCACTTACAGAGTTCTGACACGGAATGCAGCCAGAAATTTGGAGGTGATGGCTTTTCTATCTGGTTGCAATGTAATAGTCCATTTTTATATGGCATGAGGAATTACATTCACAGATCTCTCTTACCTTAGACAAATATTATCTCTCAAGATAATTAAAGCTATAAATATCTCAGTACTTCAAGAAAAAATAACACCAGTAATTGTTTCTTCAGAATGCAGTACATTTTTAAATATATATATATATAGAGAGAGAGAGAGAGAGAGAGAGAGAGAGAGAAGTTATAGGAACCTATATGCCGTTGCTTAAAATAATCAGAAATTTTAGTACATATATGATACAAATAAACAAGTGGTTTCAGAAATGAAAATTAAAGCACAAAGATATACCAGGGAACTAAAAACATACAAGGATACAAAATATATTTCTAAAGAATATTTCAGGCTTAAAAGGGCCAGTATTCGCTTTGTCTAATCCACAGGGCTATCCACAAGGCTTTTTATATTTGAGCAAATTAAGGTTTGATAAGAATAGCCAGGCTGTACAAAGTGCTTCAGGGCAAAGTGTGTTATATTTATCTCTCTATAAAATCATAGATAAGCTTTCTTTAACTCCTATCTTCACTCCTCCTCCACAATGCAGTATCCTTTATTTTTGGTTTCCTCCGTTTTTGTCTTCTGTACTGATGGAACTCATTCACAGCAAGTTGATTTAGTCCTTGACACCCATTAAAATGTAAAATACCAGATAATATAGTACATGGTAGTGAGGATATGAGGAATTTGAACCCTTGTGCATTGCTAGAGAAGATATAAAATGGTACAACCATTTGTGGAAAACCAATATAATAATTTCTCAAAGAATTAAACAGAAACATACAATAATAAGGACAAGCAATTCCAGTTTAAGGTGAAATTAGAAATTAAAATCTGGCTGATGTATCCATGTTCTTAACAGGAATATTTAATATATCTGAAGTGGAAGCAACCTGATTATTCATTAATAACAGAATAAACAAAGTACAGGATGCAGTAGCATATTATTCCGTTTTTTAAAAGGAAGGAAATTTTGATACATGCTATGACTTGGATCAATCTTAGAAAGTATGCTATGTAAAGAAAGACAGTTACAAAAGAAAAACTACTGTATGGTTTTGCTTATTTGCTTATTTATCCCTAGAGTAGCTAAATTCATAGAGACAGAAAATAGAATGGTAACCTCGATGGGAACTATCTTAGGAATGAAATAGGCCCATGGTGAGAAAATTGCATGTGCTTTGATCATAATTAACCCAATACTTCATTAGAAAAAAATAAGAAGTCATTTCTATGTCCAGTGTTACAAATACTTACCATACAATAATCCCGAAATATTTCTGATGACTGAGAGAGTTTCTGATCTTCATGCAAGTGGAAAGACCTCGCTGACATAATTCCTCTCCAATCATATACTACTCTCTCTGTTAGAAATAAAGGTAGGTTAAAATAATCTTTATCCAGGAAAAATATGTCCCAATCATATTGCTTAATGTTACACAGGGGAAGGAAGGTAAATCATCTCTATGGCTCACTGTTGTGTATTAAAATCACACCCTGTCATCTAGTTGGAGAGATGAAGAAGTGGTACTGAACAAGCACAGAGAGAAACTTTAATTGACTTCTTCACACAGAAAGGCTCTTATGCTTTCAATGCATAGAGTGTGACCAGCAGAAATCTAGTAGATTTATTCTTACGCTGTCTTCAAGAGAATTGTCTTCTTTTCTCAAAGGAAGTTTAAAGCTAAATTGTATTTGGGAATAGTCTTTATAAAGATCAAAGGAAGACTTCTCCGATAAGTATTTTATTAAAAAATGATCAGAATTACAATGAAAGCACAAGTTTTAAAATGGCAAAAGCAAATGAAATTATTAAGATGATATTATCAAAAGCAAATGAAATTATCAAGATAAATAGGCCAGTGAAGCAAAAGATTATTGGTAATATTTCTTCTTTCTTTTAGCAGTTTTTTCATGGGACTTCTCAAATAAGTTTGTTAGTTTAGACAAGAGTCTTACTACATAAGCTAGGCTAACCTGGAACTCATGACATCATCATACTTGCTTGGAATTCATCATCTTTCTTCTTCATCCTTGCTGTGATGACAGGCCTGGGCCACCATGCCTAGCTACCATTTTTTTTTAATGGAAGGGAGAATTTAATATTTTCCGGGGCATGGTGACACATGCTTGTAATCTCAGCATTCTGGAGTCTGAGGAAGGAAGATCTGAGACCCAATGTCAAAAAGTACAAAATGGGGCCAGGTGCCGGTGGCTCACGCCAATCATCCTAGTTACTCAGGAGGCTAAGATCTGAGGATCACGGTTCAAAGCCAGCCTGGACAGGAAAGTCCGTGAGACTCTTACCTCCAATAAACCACCACAAAACCAGAAATGGCGCTGTGGGTCAAGGGGTAGGGTGCTAGCCTTGAGCTGAAGAGCTGAGGGACAGCGCCCAGGCCCAGAGTTCAAGCCCCATGATTGACAAAAAAAAAAAAAAAAAGCAAAATGGAAGTAGGGACAGGAACTTAAGTCAGTCTTTCTGTCCAGGTCAATGGAACTATTCTACCTTCCATTTTTCTAATAATTATTCATAGGCATATATTCTTTCATAAATTAGTTTTTACATTAAATTGCCTTTGTGTATTCATGGTATTGTAAGTTGAGTGCTTTACAAAGAAGCAAAGATATCACATAAAAACAATACATAAATAAATGTAAGCTCAGAAACCTCTTAATAAATACATATACATCTACCACACTTCAATGTTATATGTATTTTTTAATTCAGTCTCTGCCCTTTATTAAAAAGGTGAAATCTCTAGAAAAGGCAGTATGATATGCTTCAATCACAGCTCACTGTGAATACATAAATTTCTTTAAGGGAAGCCAATTTGATAACAGGAAGCCTGCAGAGAACTGAAAATATTAGCACCTGAAAAGATGTTAACAAGTGAAAAGCCATATATTCTATCCTTTAATTGTTGACTTTCATAAGTCCAGGAGGATATAAAAGATAACATCATACCTGTGAGAGGTATGGAAGGCCCACAGCTCTGGTGAAACTTTATTGGCTCATTCACAGCATTCTCCAAGTTCCATTTATCACCTGCTCACACTTCCCTTTTTAAAATGATCTTTAAATAGTTGTAGGAAGAAGTTGCCATTCAACAAAGCTGTTCATGACATCTTGAATGATGTCACCCCTTTCATCGTTCTAGCCCCACCCCCTCTCTCAATTTCCTTCATTTGATAGGCTCTGCATTGAATTTTATGACTGCATTCTTCTCTCTCCCTCTCTTTATTTCTCTACTGCCCTCCCCTTGATCTTACTCCTCCTTTGAATACCTGTTTCTTGGTGTTTTATTCTGGTAGACTGTAAGGTAACATTTCAAAGAAATTACTCCATATGTGTTCTCCCCGAAACGACCGTATTTTGGTTACCACGTTTATGTACCCGTGGTTACCACGATGAAGTGTATACTTATATATTTATAAATTAATTCTAGGCTCCACATATAAGGGCTCATATACAACCCTAGTCTCTCTGGGCCTGACTTCGGTCACTTAACATAATTTCTTCCAGTTCCTTCCATTTCTTTGCAAATGGTGCAATGTCATTCTTTCTAATAAATGAGTAAAATTCCATTGCACATATATACCACCTTTTCTTGATCCATTTGTCCACTGAGGGCATCTGGGTGATTCTCTTCCTTAGCTATGGTGAATAGTACTACAATAAACATGTTATGCAGGTGGCTTTACTGGATCCTGGGTTGTAATCTTTTGGATAACTGTCCAAGAGTGGAATTGCTGGATCATAGGATAGTTCTACGTTTTGTTTTGTTTTTGTTTTTTTTTGTTTTTTTTTTAGGAATCTCCACACTGCTTTCCAGAGTGGCTGCACCAGTTTACATTCCCATTAACATTGTACTAGAGTTCTTTCTTGTCCACATTTGCACCAGCATGTTATTGTTTGTGTTCTTGGATGATGAGCATTCTAACTGGGGTGAGATGGAATCAGCATTGTTTTGATTTGCATTTCCTCTATGTCCAAGATGTTGAGGTACACTTCTCTTAATGCACATGAATGGTGAGTATTCTCAGGGATGGGAGACAACCATGCCTCTCTTGCTAATCTCTCCTCTTCTGTGATAATGCCCATGTCTTGTTTGCAGTGGTCCTTGCTTGCAATGTTTGATTTATGAGGACTGAGGATCAAGGAGCTTTGTGAAGACTGATGAATAAGAATTGATCCAAAAATGTTTTAAGCAAATTAAGCCAGACCCAAACATACAGGTTGTATGGTTTCCCTCAATTGCTGTAACTAGAATGTGCCTATAAATCCACAAGTAAATACAATGGATGGGAAAAGACCAAAAAAAATACACTTGGACATGAGATATTATACATGAGACCAAAGGAGGATATTCTTAAGAGAGGATCACACAGGCTCAATAACTATGTGCATATAATCATATAAAATGATGCTTTTCAAAATAAACTCCAAGACAATGGAAGCAAGAGGTTTTCTGTTATTTTGCTTTTTGTTTTGGTTTTTTTCTTCTTTGCCACTGCTTCTGTTTTTTTTTTTTTTTTGTACCTTCTGTCTTGTATGTTAGTTTATCTGTTTGGGGGAGGATAAGGGGAAACACAGAAATGTTGGGACAGAGGGTGAATAAATGCAGCCGTGGTACTCACTAGACACTTTGTTGAAAATGAACTATACAACTTGTAGGTGGGCTTGAGAGGGAAAACACGGAGAAAACAAGGGAAGAAGCAACATGGTTCAAAAAGAAATGTACTCATTACCTGATGTATGTAACTGTAACCCCTTTGCAATACATCACCTTTGCAATAACAAAAGGAAAAAAAGACTTGATCTCAAGACATAAATCTCATAGGCAAAAATGCATCTTCCTAATCACTGAAGCACCCAGCCCAATATGAAACACCTAGCTCTCCATCCCACCTTTACTGGTGAGTCCACAGCATCTTCAAATATTTATCTTGTTTACGCACAAAGCAGACACTGGCAGTCATAAGGCCAGGCATTATTATCCCCAAGATATTGGTATCACTCTAGAAAAGATAGCCATAACTTTTCCACTTCAGGAAGCAGTAAAACCTCTCCTAAAATCCTCAAGGTAATCATTCGCACACTGATGAATGCCAATGCCTCTTCTTCAGAAGCCACACACACAACACACAGTGATTGGTACTCTATGCCACAGCATCAGCCAACGTTCTAAGCGGATGGCAGTAGAAAAGTTACATATCACACTAAATTTTCAAAGTCTTTCCAGTTAATGTCTAAGAAAAATAAAAATTCTAAAGTGGTATGTGTGTGTACGTGTGTATACACTTATGCACATGAGCAGGTGCATGCTGATAGATGGAAATATTAAAAATCTTATCAGTAACCCCAGATCATTCCTCAGGACACAGTGCATACTCTGAGATTTCACTCAGTGGGGAAAATGCCATCCCACGATCTGGAAAGAAACCAGAAATGGTTACATCAGTTTAACAAGAAGTTAGCTAAATAGCAGCTATTCTTGAACATTAAAAAAATTATCAAATAACTACTCATATGGCTGTCTTCCTGACTTTGCACTTCCTCAATACTTATTTTAGACTCTTAATAAAAAGTATTATTATAAAACAACTTCATGTTATTTTTGCTGTCTTCTGCATATCTCATCGCCATATCTAGACTTAATTAAAAGTCTTTCATTGCGCTATTTGCTCTTCATAAAACAGAATATAATACTGTGCTTGAGCATGGTGGGGGGGAGGGAGGGCTGCTACAGGATGGAACAAAGCAAAGAAGTCCAACACAACTGTGAGAATGAAAGCCCCATACCATAAATAAAAGAGCATGAAAGCCTAAAAATATATATTCAAATTCTATTTTTTAGGGTCAATTTGTGGGGTGGGGGGGAAGAAGGAAGGAGAGAGAGAGATAGAAAGAGAGAGAGGGGGGGAGGGAGGAAGAAGGGAAGGTGGGAAGGAAGGAAGGAAAGAAGGAAGGAAAAACATTCGTAGCTAGTTGACCTCTCTATAATGTCCTCTTCATTGCACATGACAGTTGTGTTCGGTTCACCTGGATAGCCACAGAAAAAATCAACAGTGATTCAAACTTCAGTCACCCTGCTCAGTGAGCCAAACATCCAAGGGCTCTTAAGTACTTGATGTAACTGTCTCTCAGAGCAAAAGGAAGGTCCAATGAAGACACATGGGCCTCTGTTAGAACACAACAGACCCAGAGTCCTCTAGGTTCACTGGGCTCCAGTCCCCAGAGCTTCCTTTATGCCAAACTCATTTTGCTTCCCTTTTTATCAATCCCCTTGTATCAATTCTTGGGAGTTAATTGTACATACAGTTTTAATCTGTAGGTAATTACAAACAATTAATAGTTAGGAGATAGAATTAGCAGTTTTTTAGTCTGATTATCTATATAATTAAGATGGGCTGGTAAACAATAGAGTTGACAAATAGCATCTTAATCATTTGAATAATCAAACCTCAGAAGTTTTCTTGGGTAGTTGAAATCCATGTGCTGTATTAGCTTAAATTTCAAAGGAAAAATGACTGGAATCAATTTATAGAGGTTCACTGGTAGCATAAAAATGAATAAGATAGGTATCCTAAAGTTACTTAAACAACATTCTTTTGATTGTCTATAAAAGGCTTTGTGCAAAAGGAATTGACCAAAATAAAGACTTTTAGCAGAGAGAAAGTAATAGTGCTTCTTCAATAGGAAATAGCAGGTTTCATGAAAGGGTCATAAAATAGACACCAATTAAAAATTGAAAAACAAATGTATTCATCAAAATATTATCTGACCTATGAGTCTTTAGAAATAAATACTCAAAGATTCAAGGGAAATGCATGCATTCTATGTTTAGGTCTGATAAATAGTGTGTATATACTTTATATATGTATAGTGTGTATACATATGATTAGACAATGGTGTAATGGCTTGATGCTGATAAGCAGGAACCGGGTTTTGTTGTTGTTGTTGTTGTTATTGTTGTTGTTTTCCTTGGCATCCAAATATGAACAGAGCTGTGATAGGTTGTCGAAAGGGGAGAATGGAGGGATTCAAGGTGAGTGACCTTCTGAGATTTGATAGCTTGCTTCAAGGAGAGGAATTCTAGTTCCTGTGACTTGCTCAAGGCAAGATGGAAGCAGAAGAAGGCCAGACAGACACCTTTCTGTCTATGTAGCCCTCCGAATCTCTTCAGCCAAAAGTACTCCACACATTAAGGTACCATACTTTGAGGGGATCATGTTCTGAGCCTTACTGGATTCATCAGACTAATGTGTATGTATTTACTGAATACCAGTGAATAATCATGTCTCTTCTATGCTATAAAACTTCTAAGAATTAAAGATAAGTTTTTGTACTGCTTCATTGCACGCTTTTATTTAAGCATGTGCAGAGAGATTCCAAGTAAGATACCTTTCATCACCTTTTGGCAGTCTGGAAGGACCAGTGGTTTGTGGGTAGAGAGAGAATACTATGATATAGGATAAGGTTAGTATGAACTTGGAAAATATATGGGAACATCTCATCATTTTGCTTAGAAAGGACTATAATATTCAGCAGTGAAGCCACTGCTGAATATCGTTTTGAACTGCCAGGCATTCGAACAGATCTGGCAGATTGTTGGAAGCTAATCATGAGCAATAAAGGGTTCAAGAATAATAATGATTTCTGTCCCAATATATCTTCCACTGTGAATGAAGAACCCTTCTATACACTGCTACAGTGATCAATTCAAAGTCACGATAAATTCATTCCAATCATTCACCCATTTGAAGAGAAAAAATCCTTTAATTAAGGTAATGAAAGAGAGTCAAGGAAAGCCATCCGTGATCTTTACATAGTATTTTCACCCTACTCACCATCTTGAAAAGTGATGCTAAGAGACTGGATATCTCACAAGGAAAAAGAAAAGTAGAAAAAAATAATAAAAGCCATGACTTTACAATGTGGAATGCTGCCTTTGATGCTCTCTATCTTTCTCTATCACAATCTACCAGGACGCCACAACTCCAGGGCAACAGTCCTAGCTCAGCCAACGAGCTCAGTGCACAGCCAGGCCTGGCTGGTCTTGACAGGACAGGAGTTTATAACAGTTCATGTGCTTAATAGCTAGTGATGGCAGAGAATGAGGGGAATCTGCAATCCCAAAAATGTGAAAGTCCCCTCTCCCACCTCTCTAGGTAACAGGTGCCTGAATTCCTCCAAACAGGCCACACATTGCCCAACCTGGCCCTGCTCAGTGGTTTTGCACAGCAGTCTCGTGTCTCCAGACTCTCCTCAGGTCACCATGGTGTCCCCCTTCAACTCTCCATTAAAACGGATCTGGTCTGTTGAGGCCGTTTTCTGCTCTTTCTATATTCTAATACACTGTGACTCAGTTTCCTAACAAAGAATGGAAGAGGGGAATAGGAAAGGTCCTCTGTGGCAGAGGGAAAGACCTCTCTGTGGATTCAGTACAAAAAACATGATGTGTGTTCCTCAAATACAGACCAAGAAAAGGAACTATACCAAATTTAAACCTAGAAAAGAAAATATACCCAAGTAAACAGAGCAGAACTAAGAGAACCCATACATCCTGTCCTTCATTTCTAATCCCTTAGTTTGCAAAGAGTGAGTTCTCCCCTCGGACAGAACAAATAGACTCTCTCCACCAATCCTGGTGCTGCTAGTTGACACAAACTGGAAAGGTCAGATTACCAATCACTGTAACACACATCTGCTGATCCAATCAGCAGAGAGAACCTGAGAGGTGAGTACTGAGCTTCCTCCCATTTTACAAAGAGAAAACAAATGACAGCAGTGGCTCAAGTCCAGACAGGGGTATGTGAGTGTGGGCCAAACTGGGTTCTCTGCTGTCCTGTTATGAGAGAGAGAACATCTCTGCTTGGCTGGCCAAGCTGTGACTCCAAAGACATCCTCTCCAGGAACCTGTAAATGTTCCCTTCCATGTCAAAAGAGACTCTTCTAATATGGTTAAAATAAATATCCTGAGAGAGGAGGATGATCTGGGATTGTGGTGAAGGGCCCCATTATTTAATCACCACTGTTCTTAGCTGGAGATTTGAATACAGAAGAGCTGGAAGTGTGGTATTGGAAGCAAGGAACTCCAGTGGTGGAGGAAGGGCCTGGCCCACGAACCCTGGAATACAAGCAGGATCCGGAAACCGAAGGAGGCAAGGACACAGATTCTTCCAGGTAGTACACACATTATGATGGTGTGGGCGTGTGTGCACATGTGTGTGTGTGTGTGTGTGTGTGAGAGAGAGAGAGAGAGAGAGAGTGTGTAAAGCTAATTTCATACATGTGGCCTCTATCAAGAGATTCAATTATGAGAGAAAAGGTTTAAATTGACACAGGCAGAAAAGAATGAGGAAGAAAAGAATCAAAACAAAGGAGGCGGCAACAATGCTTGATAAGAAATGTGCTCTTTACCTTGCTCATGTAACTGTAACTCCTCTGTACAGTATTTTCACAATAAAAAACTTATTAAAAAATACAAAAAGAATGAACATAACTAAGCTTGAGACTACTGTGTTGAATTTCACATAAACTGGATGCTGCATGCAGTTACACATGTATGGTACTCTGTTATAGCAACCATTGGAAGCCAATACAATCTGCAAGTGTAAAAATGCAGTGAAAGAATGTAGTCTAAAAACATTCTATTAGCCCCAGAGGAAAATTTTAGGAAAATGTTTGATATTCTCACAAGCCAGGAACAATAAAGAGAAACACAAACATTAAAGAAATACTAATAGTTTTAAAGTAAGTATAATAGGAATGAACATCACTTTTTTAAGGCAAAAATACAAAAATGTAAGGGCAGAATAAGAACGTACTTCCAGAGTGTAGGGTGTACAAATGGCAGAGTAGAATACCAATGACTGGATTTGGCACCGAATCCTAGAATAGAGAAGAAAAGCATTCAAAGATGAAAATTATAAGACAGAAGATTATAGATTAAAGAGGACAAAAAAATAAGTGCCAAAGGAATCACACACATTGCTGGGGATGAAATCAGAACAATTAGAAATGAAAGAAACAGATGCAATAATTTCCCAAGATAAAAAAAATTGAGTTTTCCAGCTATAGGCTGTATTAAATTTGTGGGGAGATAATTAAGGAGATTTTTATGGAGCTATATACTATCAAATAATAGGAATAAAAGATTAAATTATAAGATTGAAGGGTATTTCTGACATATTCAAGGAGAAAAACAAATCTGCAAAGGTATCAAACTCTGGCATTCTCAAATTTCTTCTGTGAAAAATAAAAATAAAGAACCAATAAACTAAATAGGAGACTACCAGAAAGAAAATTAAGAAGAAAAGTAGTAAAAAAAATTTTTGTATCAAAGCATCTTTAACATGTAAAGGCCAAGAGAAAAAAAATCAAATATACCAATGCTCTGAAATCTGCTCAGAAAATTGAATGAACCGAAGCTTAACTGAAGACCAACTCAACATCAAGCCTAGTAAACAAAATCCAGCCTTTTCCATGCTCAGTGAACTCTCTTCCTGTCTGTTCACCCAAAGTCTTAGAGATTCTGAAACTTGGACTTAAGACTTGGTTCCTACAAAGCTCTCAGTTTTTCTCTGTATTTTACTTTTCCAGGAACCAAACCACTTAATCCCAAGATTATAACCTTGAACTCACTTACAGTAAAAGTGAAATTAACTTTTTTTTTGTCAGTCGTGAGAGCTGAACTCTAACCTGAGCGCTGTCCCTGAGCTCTTCAGCTAAAGGCTAGTGCTCTACCACTTGAGCCACAGCGTCACTTCTGGCTTTTATCTGCTTATGTGGTGCTGAGGAATTGAACCTAGGGTCTCATGCATGTGAGGTGAGCACTGTACCACTGAGCCAACTTCCCAGCCCTGAAATTAATGGAATCTTGTTCCATGATTACAAATGAGAGCAAGAGAAAGAAGAGAGAGTGTATTCTGTCATGCAAAGACAGTAGCTAGACACTTTATTTGCTTTGTAATATGTACCCACAGAAATAACAAAGAACAACAAATGGCTATTTTTGTTCCCATAAAACTTAAAAATTACATTTCTTTATAACAACTCATAGGGATAACTCAAAATATGATGTTACCCTTTAAATTTCCTCATTTTGTTATGGGAACACCATTTGAGTGCTCCTATATTGTTATATGGTGTAACAAAGAGAGAAAATATACCTGGAAATTTAAGTGATTGTTGCTAGGTAGTGCAATACTAGATGACTATCTGTGTGTGTGTGTGTGTGTGTGTGTGTGTGTGTTCTATATTTTCCAGATTTTCTACAACCATTCATAACTAATCACAATTCTAAAGTCATTACATTAAAATAAATCCAGCTAATCTGGAGTAAAAAATATAGGCAAAATTAAGTTAAAATTGTGAACTAAGGCAAACTGGAGAAAGTGTCACGGAACTTTAGCAATACCTGTTTGTACAAAGCCTTTACATGAAGAGTTAAACTTCATTCCTTTTCTTTTCCTAAGGAGAACAGTTTGTACTAGAAAAGAGGAAAATACATTTTGAAAGGGCCCTTTGACAAATATTCAAAAATAACCTTTCTTTATATTCTCCTTCAATGACACAACCAAGTTTTGTTCAAAAGGAGTCAGAAGTCATAGTTCTTCCTAAGGACTAAACAAAAATATACCAGTATGTTCAACTGATACAATCTATTACGTTCTCTTGTTCTGGATGGGCTGACAGTAGGGCTGATGAAACCTTAAGTCTCACATTCTGCCATCTTTTGGGGAAAGTTACCATGATTCCCTCATACCAGGGGATGGAAGATTAAACCATGGCTGACTTATGAAACTAGACTTGCAACTTGAGTGCAAAGAGAACTAAGTTAGGGAACCTTCCATGAGCCTGAGCTCAAACAAGAATTGGACATAAGAGGGTTGACACATCTATCATGCTGGGGCTCCAACTCTGCCTAGTTGGGGCTCAACATCACAGAGAAACAATCCTATAAAATCAAATATGGTGGTCTCAACTGTTTAATGTTCAGGGAGTCAACAGGGACAGGCTATGTTTATGTTAGCAGAAGGGTTAAGTAGCCTGTTCGTTTCTCTCTCAAGCTGATTGATAAACCCAGATTTGGGATCTCTAAAACGTGGAAGGACTGTGATGTACCGAGATGACTTTGCACAAAACTTTCCCATATGGGCTCCATCGGTAAAAGGAATTTGTATGCATTTTATCTGGAACAGGACCTGAACACTTGGCTTCGTGAAGAAGTATTTCTTTTATTATGTGAAGGGATGATGAAGCTTTAGAACACAAATACTTTCAAGTAAAATTTTACTTGCAAACCTCTGGTATTCTATTTATTCACAGGTTATGCACGAAATAGATCTATTGTGAAAAATTCTGGAATGAGCTGGTCTTTTTTAGAAAATTAATAATCTAATCTCCTAAAAAGAATAAAAAGAGTCATTTCCATCTGTCTTTGGTGATTGGCTTGTCAGAAGCCTCAAGTTCATTCATGTATCATTATCTTCACAAAAACTCATTAGAGCAATACATTTAACTGAAGAAAAAACATCAGTTACTGAACCAAAATGATAATTACAGCACAAGAATATGATCCCTGCTTATAATTGTATGTTCCTCCCAAATGTTTCGCTCTTTTTTCTTTTATTCTCATACTCATGACTAGAAGGGATGCATCTTGTTGCCTTCATGGTGTAGACTGCACATACTCAATAGAGGGCTAACTGAACTATAGGTGTACTACTGTGATACATTTAATTTAAAAATTATGGCAGTACAAGGAAGCTGTCAAAATTCAAGTCTATAAAGTTATAGCAAATATCGCACATACATGTAACAAATGAGATTAGTGAAATACACTAAGGCAAGAACTTTATTATGACCAACATGTGTAATTATTTGGATTAAACATTAGGTAATTTCCTGTCTTTAACCCCATTTTATTAGACAGGAAAGAAGTTGAAACATAAGAACTGACATTTGTTATAAATAAGAGTAGAAGGCTAAAGGCTGAATGCATGATGGGAGTTCTACATATTAATGCTTTAGATGTTATCTACTGAGCACAGATAGCCATGTGGATCCTGTTTCCATTATTACTGATAACTGAACATTGACTGTACTAATAAAATACACCACAGATGCTCTGTCTTCTCCCTCCTACACACCAACAGATCCAATTCAACAAAATTTGGAGCTTTAGAAAAACAGAATATGAATTATTTTAGTAGGAATTTTAAGAATAATTGAGGATAAAATTAATTTTTCAATCTATCTTACTAGTCTTATTAACTACTACGTCTATATAAGAACATCTACTTCTTCTCTAGTCAATGCTCTATCTGCCTAGGATGCATCTCCACTCATGGGCCTCTCTCATTGTCCTCCCTAACATACCTACTACCTGATAGTCACTTCCCCAAAGTACAGCCCACTTTCAAGGTCAAATTGTGGCACTATCATTGTGTTCTCTGTTTCATTAAAAAAAAAACACATTGGAATTCGTACAATTGCATGATTTCACATGATCACTCAAGCATGAATGGAAAAAGGAGGCAGAAAACTACCAGACTCCACCACTGAAACAGAATACTAACCATTGCCTTTTCCCACAAGTCCTGGCTTGTGTCTAAATTTATTTGTATGCTGATGGGCCTAGCTCAGTCTTTGGAAAGGTCAGTGTTTTTAAAGACTGAATAAAAAGGCATTTGATTAACCTTCTGCCTTCAAAATTCAGGTATCTTCACTTCCATTATAATAAAGAAAATTGGCATTGTCTGATTATTTTCTGTCGGGATCATCACACAGTTTGTATTATTCAGGCAATGGTGCCAAACAAATTTGAGTCTGCATCCTGGAAAGTCAGAATCTCTTCCCAAATAGCTCAAAGGTACTTGCCTAATTAAAAGTTTACCTTCAGAACAAAAAATTCACCAAATAAACTGAAGCCTTACAAAATGTAAGTAGCCAAGTAGATTTTTCTGGAAGTAAACTCTTGTTCTTTTTAAGATCAGTCTTAAAATGCTGCATGTAGGTACCTTTTCAAAATAACTGTTAAGGAAAAGCAAAACTCCTGCAATTTTTGTATGCGATTCCATTTACTTTAGAATTTTACAACAGTATCACCTTAATATCATCTTCAATAATTGGCAAAGTCCAGCATTTAATGCGTAAAATGGAGCACCGCTATACTCGTTCTGAGAGGCGTACCCAGTGAAACTTAGTGCTTGAAGATTTTATGTAACTATGTCCTGCAGCAATATCTTCATCTATTCTCACAATCATCATGAGAGGTCAAAGAGCTCAAAATGTGCCCCTCCCCAGTTGATAAAATAAAACTGCTATTCTATCATCTCATATTCTTTCCCTTTATCTTGATCCAAAGGCAATTTAATGGAGCCAAAAATATATTAAAAGTTTTTAAACAACTAAGGATCCTGAATGTGCCCCTCAGAAAATACTTGTTCTCACTTTCATTGATGCCCAAATGTGAACTCTGGTGAAACAAAACAGAAAAATAAGAAAGAATTATAACTGAAGGGAATAAGGCAACTTTAATGCTACTTAGCCATTTTACATTTTTTCCTCTGTATCTTTTTAATTCTAATGAAAATTGGTTTTAAAAGACTTGTGATATTACAATCACACACAAATGCCTTATTTATTTTTAACTAGGCACTATTTCTGAAACATCGAGTATTGAAGCAAAATTATGAACACCACTTTTAAAAATCATCTGTCCTATGGATGAATTGTGGGAAAAACACTTTTATTTCTACACTGTTAGCTGAAAATGATTAAGGGGCACTTAAGACTATGAACAACATAGTGTTATGTATATTTTCCCTTTTTCTGTAAGAGGAACTAAAAGGACTCATGTTTTAAACAACAAGAAAGAAGTCATGAGGAATTTATTTTTTGCTATGTGTCCCTAAACATCCTTCCCTACAAGAGAATTTAAGCCCAAATTAAAAAAAAAAAACAGAAAAAGAAAACTTCATTACATTGCAATTATTCTAATTTCTATGCTTTGACTGGAAGTCAGATAAGCTTAAAATATTATATGACACCGTTATAATTTACAATGGTCATAAATTATTAATTCCAATTTTTAAAACTTGTGCCCAAGAAGCTACCTTGAATAAAAGAGGGATCATAAATCAGTTCAGGAAGTTTCCATTTTTTAGTGTGATTTAAGGAATATGATTTTGCTTTTACATAGTCTCAAAACTGGTTCAGTCACATCACAAAATTTAAATTAAACCAATAAAATAAATTAATGTAATGTTCTGTCTGGAGACAATGTTTAATCCTCTGTATGGATTCTGAAGAAGTATTCCAGAAAGTGAACAGAGAAAAAGATAAATCAGAAAATACATGCACAGAAATTTGCATTGCACAACTGATGGCACCAATAACTAATATGAAATTTAATAAGTGGTACTTTGATGACCTGCTATGTCCCTAAAAACCTTTAAATCAACCACCTTAGTTCTTTTTTTCCTTTGGAGTAATACAATTATAGCATATTTCTCCAGCACAGTTCCACTTTCTTGTGTTTAAAGATTCATATGTATGAAATGCTTGAAAGAAACATCATTTGTACATCCAGGCTGTTTCCCAGCAGGCACAGCTTAGCACAAACCGATAAAAAAATGAGGGGTCATAAAATACAAAATTCATTTTCATACCCATTGGTGTGTAATTGAATGCATTCTTTGAATAGTGACTATAAATTAATTCCAAGTTAAAAGCAGTGAAATATTCTACCTCTTGCCAAGGAGTCAGGAATGACACAAAACATTTTTCCTCCTTCAGCAAAGAAGGGATAACAGTGATCTCAAAAGTTATTGCCTTCATCTATCTGAACTATAAGCTCACCTCACTGACTGTACAGGAAAATTTAGAGCTCCTTCAAAGCTCAGCCATCCAAAGACATCAGAGATTCACATTGGTTTAAAGTACATCTTAAAACACTAGAATATTGTTCCAGGATATTAAATTCAAAGAATGACTGACTTTTGTGTCCCTGTGAGTTAGGACACAATAGTGAAAAGTTCTGCTTCAAACACAGAGATTGATTCAAAAATTTTTGAAGACATCTATGTCTACCAGTCTATAACATTGGTATCACCCTTTAACATATGTATTAGAAAATGAAAACATGTCAGGTATTTTTCTTTATAGGAATATTCAATGTGACAGAACTCACAAGTCTCAAAGTCACTCATGTGCTAAGAAAAATATTAATATTCAAAAATGTATCAGTAGAAGCCTGGCTCTGGTGGCTCACACCTGTAATCCTAGATATCAGAGGAGCAGAGATCTGTTCAAAGGCAGCTCAGGCAGGAAAGTCTGTGAAACTCTTATCTCCAATAAACCACCAAAAAGCTGGAAGTAGAGTTGTGGCTCGAGTGGAAGACCAGCCTTGGGTAAAAAATATAACAGAGAAAACAGCATAAAACTCTACGTACACAGTTTTTAGCAAGCCCTCGGGGACTTAGTCACAAAAACATGACATTAGAATCTTATTTCCCAAGCAAAACATTTTCCCCCAAACGAATCACTTTCTTAACTCTGTAAGCACTTCCCTACTTTTAATACAACTTTCCTGTTATTAGCTGAACTTCAGAAGATCATGTAAGAGGTTACAACTGAACATGTCCATCTGAGTGTCCAGTCTTCCCCTGGCCCATCTGTCCCCACCCCTCAGACTCATTTCATATTTCAATCTTTCCATATGTACATTGTGTTTTCTGTTCATCTGTCTTTTTAAAAAGAAATTTGCCAATGCTGTTGGGCTATAAAAAGTGAGTTTTACTTTTATGTTTGGAACTTGGGCTACCAAAATACTTTCATGTTTCCCCTTCATTGTTTGACTTTATCATTATAAAACAGATCTGTGTTTTTGCAAGTAGAGGTAGGTTAGTCCCCTTTCTGCGATGCACGCTTCCCATAGGTGAAACACAAATTTCTTGAATGAAAATGGACGATGCCCACAACCCGGAAATACATGATCAGGGTAAACAAAAGCCTCCTGTTAGAACTTTGCTGGAGTAGCCTAAGAACTAAAGAGGAACCGTCCACAATGCCAGGTCTCAAGCAGAGCAGAGAATAGCTCTTGTGCCCAAACAGCCACATCTTGAGAAAGAAATCCACCTGGGAAGATGGAGCTCATATTGAACACCAGCAGACACACCTGGGTGACATTCTCACCAGGCTACAAGAAGCTGGGGAGGTTGAGCTTAATGAGGAATCTCACAGCTTGCTCTTATGCCCCAGAACTTGACCTCCAGGTGAGGCAGAGGCAAGGAGAGCTTCTCCACCACATGGCTGCTCCTTGGTGCCTGAATCAAACAACTAGGAATAATCAAGGCTGAACGCACTCATGCACCTGCACAATCCTCCATTAGAGTGTCAGGAACCTGGACACTATCCGGATACTCACCCACACGTTTCCTGCAAACACTGGAACAAGAAGCAGTGATCACACTCAAAGACAGGCATAATGAAAAGTGAACTCATGTGCAAGGTTTATGAAATACTGAGCAAAAAAAATAGAGGGGAATGAATGAAAGAGGAGAAATTTTGACCAAACAAGTTTTCAGAGGGAAAACACAACAACCATTATGAAAAGATGCAAAAATATTTATTGTGTGTATTATAACATATAAAATATATGTTATATACAAACCTATACCATATATAATTATAAAATCATATATATATATCTTATATGTATACATATGTATACATAATAATATAGTATATAAATTATATAATATAACATGTTGATTAGAATAGAACAGAACGTAAGAGACTGGTGAAGAAAGACTCACTGGGAAGGATGCTCCTCAATGGAAGCACACACCTTTCCTCAGAGGAAAAAATTGTCACGGTGTCTTCCCACTAAAACGTATCTCAGAAATATTACTGAAATTCTGAAAGAATCCTTTGAATAACCAGGAAAAGAGAACCATCTATACGTACCAACCCATCAAAATAATTAACAACAACAACAACAATAATAATGATAAAGCAAAGCCCAAAGCATCTGTGCTGGATACTGATGGTTCAATCTAGCATCATAGCTATTCTGAAGGCAGAGACTGGGCGCCCTGGTCAGCTAAGGCAAAATTTCTCATCTCAACAGGAAAAGTTGGGTACCTGGTTGCATGTTTGCCATTCCATCTACTGCAGGAAGCATAGATAGCAGGATCATAGTTCACGTTGGCCCAGGTAATGCACCCCCCTTGCAAAAAAAACCCCACAAAATAACAATAAAAAAAACTTCCAAAAAAGTCAAAGGAATGGTTGGGGCTGGCAGAGTATTTGCCTTTCAGACGCAAGGCACTGAGTTCAATTCCCAGTACCAAAACACCAGCATTCCAAATAATCCCTATCAATTTATGAGTGAGGGTAACAGTTGCAAGAGCTGAAGACGTGGTGATGTGCAGCAATGGGAAGGGGTGCTCTGAACGTGTGTGCATGAATTACTCCCAACTCTGGAAGACAGTTTGGCAATATTGAGAAGTTGAAGATAAATAAAACCCAGAATCACAAAAGAATCTAAGAATTACAAAAGAATCTAAAGAATCCTCTCCATATACCAGCCACAAGAGGTTCATCACTCCTAACTTTCCTAAAGTCCATAAGAGCAAACTAAAGACCACAACCATTTTCTTACAGACGTGAGAACCAAATAAGCCTGCAAGCAGGGTTGAGGAAAAGCACCAACAACACATGGAATACATCTTAAATTGTGTTGAAGACAAAAATAGTTATTACCACTCAGGGTAATAAAAACTAGAGAGAAAACACAGAAACTATTATCACAAAACTAAAGCCAGGTGCGAGAGGCTCGTGTCTCTAATCCCAGCTACTCAGGAAGCTGAGATGTGAGGATCCAAACCAGCCCAGGCAGGAAAACCTGTGAGACTTTTATCTCCAAAAACCTACACAGAAAAAGCCAGAGTGGAGCTATGGCTCAAGTGGTCCAATGCTAGCCTTGAGAAAATAATTCAGGGACAGCATCCAGGCCCTTGGTTCAATCGCCAGGACTACAACGACAATAACAAAAACTAAAGCCAGTGGTCTCTTGCACACTTCTGCATGTGTGGTGTGTGTGTGTGTGTGTGTGTGTGTGTGTGTGTGGTGTGTGTGATGTGAGTATAGATCAAGGAAGAACACAACTCATCCTTCTATTCTTCCCTAAGGCATGGGTCAGGCTTGAGCAGGAGAGCTATAGTGATTTGGAGTTAGCAGTGATATTTAAGTTTTAAATTGGATATCAGAGTGCCACTTATTTACCAAAACTGTTCATGTATTTAAATGTGGACCTGCACATTTAGAGGCTGTTTTATAAATTAAGTATTTATAATTAAGAGCATGGGCAATTAATTCCACAGCATGCTGAGCAATTGAACATAATTGTCCTTGGCTAGCGTCTTCATGCCTGGAGCTCCTCCTCCTCTCTGTCTAATATCTTTCCACTCAGTTGTAACTGAAAAAAAAGGTACTATATTTGGCGGAGCAGTTTCTAGAAACTAATAAAGATGAATATAAATGGGGTAAATCACCCAATAGATGACTTATTTCAGACTGCAGAAAGAAAATGGAACAAAGGAAACCAAGAAGATGTACTATGCTCACCCAGATCCTACACAGTAATGATGAAAGGCAGCTATAATTTTTCTCCATTCCTAGGAACAACCTAGGTGGTTGAGAATAAGTACCCTGGCTTAGGGTTCTTATTCTAGGGCATGGTTTGTCATCTCATCCCTCTGGAATATTCCATTGCTTCCTTTTCCTATTAGCTTTCCTTGCCCAAATATTTGCTGTGCATTTGCTCTACTCCAACCATTGCAATAGGTTATATAAATACAGAAATGTGATTGTGGTCTTTGAAGCACAAAGTCCCAAGCTGACAGATCACTATGGAAACCATGAATGATCCATGTCTGTGAACACTCAAAGTGTGACCATGAAATACTGAGATGGGTAAGTTACACTACAACAAAGACTCAATAGGACAAAAAGGTTAAAAAATGCCATGCATTATTTCAGATAGCTGTTTCTATAATCTACCTTTAGACAACACTGATATTTATCAGCTATATATTGTCTCAAAGTTTCAGATTAGTCTCATAGAAATTAGCTAATCCCTGTTAACAAGGATTTCTTCTTCTTGACAAGCATACAGTACCTAAAGAGTGATCTCTGTTAAGACATATATTACTAAATGATGACAACTGTTTGTCTCGCATCTTACAAAGTCTCTTTTAGAGATGTGATGGGCATTATTAATATCATAGCACTTATCTCTCCCAGCCTGAAAGAAAGTTGATTGAGCCCATTAAAAATATTTTTCATATTTTCCTAAAGATGAGGCAGAAGTGCTTTCAGATAATAAAATTCTTACATTTTTATGAACTATCTATTAATGGAAACAGTAGAGAACCCTAGAGAACCCTTCAAGAAAGGTATCTTTCCTATTAAATTTTCACATACTGAAAAAGCAATACAAGCTAATTTATAACTGAGCATCAAAGCTAACACATCAATGTTGCCTAACATGCAATAATCATATTGGTAAAATCTGTAAGACTGAGTGAAAATGTAATTGTAAATAACATGCAAAGTAGTGAGGAACCATATTTAGACAGAGGGCATGGACCAAAAATGTCAAAATACATGCAAATTTATACTACCCTGTAGTTCTTAATATTATGTCTACCATCAAACGCATTATATAAGCCTTTCCAACATTAAATCATTTTGTTTTGCTTTAAAATATTCTAATTTTATGATAATAAAGGACACAGTGCCATAAATGCATACTATGTACAGGCTTTCTTATGCTTCCTGACTTGGGCTTTCCTGGTAGCTCTATCGGGTTTTTTAAGTTATCTTTTACTATTTAACCCATAATTTTAGGTCTTCTGCATGTAGAAGCTTTTCTTTGAAGCTTTCTCTCAGAAAAAGAAGCAAACAAAATTCCACAGCTATTTTCTTTTCTAGTATTTTCTCATTCAAAATAAAAATGGCATATTTGAGCTCTGATTACTTTCTTCACTAAACTAGAAACATTTGATGCTTCATAGAATTTATTTTCACCCCAATTGCTTAAAAACCATGGCATCTTTATTCATCTAAGCCCTTCCTAAGTGTCAGATATTATTTCAAGTCTAAGTGATTTAATACTGAATGACTCAGTTAAAATGGCCTGCCTTCACAGAGATTACATTATGGAAGGTCCGACCTATGAAAACCAGAAAAATGAAATCTGCACAAGGTCCTAATGTCTTAGGGCGGTTGGGCTTGGAGAAGTGGGTTCAGTTATAACAGGTGCTCAGGGGTGACCTGGTTGATGAGGAGGGGTTTGGGCAAAGCCTGTGATGTTGGAGGTGTACTCCCTGTAACATTGTAGGTAAAGAACTTCAAGACAGAACACACAGGCAGCACACACAGCTTCTGAGCTGAATACAGCATGTATGAATTCACTCAGCAGGTGAAAATCTGGGTGAGCAGTTGAATGTAAGCTGAAGTCAAGGAGAATAAACAGACTAGTAAATAAATACAGTCATGGAACGGATAAAATGACCAATGGAAAAAGTGTAGCCAATGGTTCCCACCAGTAATCATAGCTACTCAGGAGGCTGAGATTTGAGGATCATGGTTCAAAGCCAGCCAGGGCAGGAAATTCCATGCTACTTTTACCTCCAATGAACCAGAAAACTGGCTCAAAAAGCTCAAGGACAGTGCCCAGGCCCTGAGTTCAAGCCCTATAACAACAACAACAACAACAACACAAGAGTTGTTCCAACTATCGAAGAATAATTCAGCAGAAAATAAACATCAAAGTCTTGATTAAATACCTATTCTTATTTAATTAGAGATACAATTCCTTTTTTCTTTTTTCTTTTTTCAGATTTTTTTGTGTCAGTATTAGGGCTTAAATTCAGGGCCTTTCAATTTCACTTGGCTTTTTAGCTCAAGGTAAAGTCTCTACCACTTGAGCCACAACTCCACTTCAACTTTTTGGTGGTTAATTGGACATGAGACTCTCACAAGCTTTTTATGCTCTGGCTGGCTTCAAACCATGATCCTCAGATCTCAGTCTCCTGCATAGCTAGGATTATAGGCATGAGCCACCAGCACCCAGCACAATGCTTTTTAATGGCAAAAGGAAAAGCAAACCAATAGCCTTTGGAAATGATGGATTTTTGCAATTGTTTACACTTCCAACATATTCCACCTTACCTGCTGACTCCCAATGAATAATATGAATAGTAAGAGACCAGTAATAGTATAAAAACTGATCAACAATTTGGTTTTAAAGCATGTAGACAGCACAATACTTTACTTAGATTGATAACACCCTCTCTCTTCTGTCTAGATATAACCAATATTTTTTTAATTTTTATTTTTTTATTGTGAAAATACTGTACACAGGGGTTACAATTACATGGGCAAGATAGTGAGTACATTTCTTTTTGTTTGTTTGTTTTTGTGGGGGGGGGGGTTTGGGTCCAGTCGTGGGGCCTGAACTCTGGGTCTGGGTACTGTCCCTCAGCTCTTCAGCAGAAGGCTAGCGCTCTACCACTTAAGCCACAGCACCAGTTTCCGCTTTTTTCTTTTTGCTTATGTGGTGCTGAGGAATCGAACCCAGGGCCTCAGACATGCAAGGCAAGTGCTCTACCACTGATCCACCTTCCCAGCAAAGTGAGTACATTTCTTATCAAGCATTGTAGCCTCCTCCTTTGTTTACCTTTCCCATCCCTTCCCATCCTCCCTCCCCCCATAACCAATATTTTTGAAAACCTATAAAAAAGTAGTATTTTTTCCCAATTTTTTTTGCTTGTGGCAGTTATAGAGGTTTAGTTATGTGGAGAGAGACATACAAATGTGCTCTAAAGAATGCTCCAATTGTTAAGCTTCTTTTAATTTGCATCCATCCATTCATTTAGTACTAATTCGTCCTAAACACTGTGATGGAGAGTTTCCTCCATTTTATGAAGCTGTGATTCCATAACTATAAATAAATATTCCAGACCTTTACTTTTTGCATGAGTAGAACCATTAGCAAATCTTAAAATCTGTCACACAGGAGCAAGCAATTCTGGGCCTTCCCCTAAATTTCATAAGAATATGAGACTGGAGCTGGGATTCTCTCAAAACCACTTTTAGAAAGGTCTTCTATCGTTTATTAGCACTAATAAAACAATCAACCTCCTGTATATGTAAGATTTTAAATTAATTTCAGCATTTAAACTAAAGCCATGACTCCCTCAATGAGCACAAGATTCTTCTGCAAGAAGACAGGCATGATTTATCCGACACGGAGATTATTCAGAGATGGGCATTTTCATCAACCTTGATGTGATTTCTCAATGTACTCTAAATACTGCACAGAATTAATAGAACTTTAGCTTATGGTAGTTAAGTACTCTAGGCTTCAACCTTCAAGCTTATTATCGACTTCAAGATTTCAAGATCCTTATCTGTTATCACTGTTCACATTCTTCACTCCCTACATCCTATGTGAATACGCACGGTCATTTACTTCCACCTTGAGTCTAGCTATTCAGTTTAATTGATACCCACCATTGTTCCTTAACTCCAGGGCCTCAGACTGTGTGGCCAAAACCTTAAAATAACCTTAGCTATGGGTTAATATAAAAACAAAAATTTTAAATAGACTTAAGGTACATCATCAAGATTCTGGGTTCTATTGTGAATAATTGTGAATTCTGGAGGGATTAATGAAAATGTGTCTCATAGAACTTAACTTGGGACCCATGAGCTTTTACTTGGTGCTTGAATTTCTTGTATGAATATCCAAACACACAGAAGATGGCAAAATTGACTGGAGCTAAAGAATACTTCATACAATAGTGCCTTGAGAGCCCACAGGAGTTTATTCTGAAGACTTGAATTCATCTTTTCCCAAATCAATCCAAGTCCCACCCTACAGGATGCGTTTTCTCTTAATGACACCCTGAAGCTCAAGAACATGAGAACAAGTTTAAAAGGGACAAAAAAACTGTGAAATGTTTCTTTGAATCAATAGGCCCCTGGGTCTTGAAATAATCTCCAACTTCCAGAGTTTTTCAGTCAGACTTAATGGATTTTAAAGAGTCATATATAATATTCTTTTGGAGAATTTTATGTACTTTTAAGAGAATAGTAATTACATGATAGGGAAGCCTTCCAAAGTGTGATAATTTCTTTTTTTTAATTTCCTCTCACCTTCTACTAGTAGTTATTTCAAAAATGTCTTCATTTATTTATCTAGTTGCCTATCTATTTAGTTTGTGCTGGTACTAAAGCTTGCACTCAAAGCCTGTGTGTTGTTCCTTAAGCTTTTTCCATTCAAGGCTGGTACTTTGAACCACAGCTCCACTTCTGGCTTTTTGCTGGTTACCTGGAGATAAGAGTCTCATGGACTTTTCTGCCTATACTGGTGGCTTGCATCTGAGATCCTCAGATCTCAGGCTTCTGGATTGCTAAGATTGTAGGTTTGAGCCACTAGTACCCAACTTCTGTTTCTCTTTTGACATAGTATTCAAAACAAGACATAAAGGAAATAAATGTTCGATTCTTGCTCTTTGATTTTGTGTTTTCAATGAACATAAAATCATCAAAAGTAATATTCTGCTACTAGGCTTGACAAAATGAAACTTACCAGTTTCTCTCTGAGTTCCCTCGGTTGAGGTCACACGCTGTAAAAGCACACTAGGATAGGCAGCAAGTGCATGTGAGGATCCCAATGCTCTGTTTCCAAAACAGAAAGTTCTATCATTGAGTGACTTCACAGTTCACATTTGTGATATGAACACTCCAAGATTAATGTTACACAATTAAATACTAGGCTTAGAAACTCAATTCAACAGGACTATACCTGCTGTACCCTGAGGACGCTGAAGAATAAATGTTTATCAACTAATGTTGCTAATTCTAAGCAAGAGTAACAAATAGAGACATCTGCTTTCTGAAGAACCTCCATTGAACATCAGGAAAATGCAGACGCATTAAATGTTGCTGTATTATTTGTTGCATTATTATTTTTTAAATAATGATGACTTCCTTAGTATAAAATCTTAGAATTGATATTTCTGGTTCAAATATCATAAGCTATAAAAGTTTTTAATTTGTAAGCCAATTGCTAACCATAAAACTAGGGTTTATGAGGGATCAGACTGCTTAGAGTTTTATATTTAGGATGAAGTCGGCACTCAATAGATAGGAAATGAATAACTTAGAAGGCCCATTCATTTCAGTTTCACTCATATGGCATACCCATAGATTTGGCCATATGACTGAAGAGGCCCTTAAACTATGTCAAGAGAAAATATGAAATATTTGAGGGTGTAGGAAATTTGGTAAAATTCTATTTAAAATTCTAGAATTTATTGATCTGCTACCAAAAATAGGCCAAAGAGACTCTGATCATCCATAGTTGCTTTTGCTTTGTATTATATAGTCCAGGATGGAGTCTTATGCAATCATCAAATCAGAACAAATGGTAAATATGTGTGTGTATTTGTGCCAACCCTAGGGCTTGAATTTAGGGTCTGGATGCTGTCCCTGAGCTTTTTTGCTCAAAGTTAGAACTCTTATCACTTGAGCCTCAGCTCTACTTCTGGCATTTTAGTGATTAAAGAGTCTCATGATCATTCATGCCCAGGCTGGCTTTAAGCTGTGATTCTCAGATCTCAGTCTCTTGATTAGTGAGGATTACAGGCATGAGCCACCAGTGCCTGGCCACAAATGGCATTTTTGTCAGTACTTCTGTATTCAATCTAATAGAATCTAATAAACCCAGACAACCAATCAACTTAAGAAAAATATTTAAAATCATTAAGAGCAGAGTTGTTTCAATACAACAGAGAGGGTGGCGGGGCATAGTGGCACATACCTGTAATCCCAGCACTTGAGAGGTAGTCCCAAGGTAGTTTGGGTTACATAGAGAAACTATTGTCTCAAGATTTTTTTAAAAGATCATCAAAATCAGAAATGCCATTTACTTACTACCTTACAATTTGACCAGAATAACCTAAGCACAGCTTACCATGTAAAACACAGGAAATCCTCACTGACCACAAAACTAGGCTTATTTGCCTGAGTTATAAAATCCACTTACAGAAATGCAGTGCAATCCTTTCAAACGCACCAGATAATATTGAGTGAAAAGTCGGCACTATTCAATTTTTATGGAAATATTAACATTTGCAATGCACATCTACATCTACTACTATGGTCCTTTAAAAAAGAATGTTTTAATGAGTAATAATCTTTGAATTTTGAATACAAAGGTACATTTCCTAACCTTAAATGTGAAAAATGAAGACGTATTCTATTTTGTTTTCTCTCTGCAGATCAAAAATAGAAAAAGGTGGAAAGGAAAAGCATGTGTTTAGAAGATTCTTTCCTATTTCTTCATACTCGGTTCTAGGAAATTTCTTTGGTTGAGCCATTATTTTCTTATAGTTGCCTGAAATTATTGGGTCACCTTAGCAATTTGTGTTTCCCAAAGTGTCGTTAGGAGGGCTTTAAGTAGATTACACATAAAACCTGCCTCACATCTGTCACAGGAATCTATGTGAATTGAGCAGAAACCTTTGCAGAGTCTCACAAAGAACTGGGTAATTCAGGCTAATTAGTCCAGGAGCCTAATTGTCAACAATTCTCTACCTAATTTTCTAATTGATTCTGCTCTCCTTCTGTTGTTTTAATTCTCATTGCTAAGCTTTCCTATCTGCATCATGCAGAGAACGAGATTTCAATTTTTTAAAAAATTCAGTCTGATGATTTTTTTTCTTTTTGTCTATTTAAGCCCAGGTTTTCAAAGAATCTGAGTCACCATGTCCCAGAACACGCATTTCGGTATTTATGTCTCTTTCAGCATTCCCATCTCACCCCTAACATTAATGAAATGGAGCTAACTGCTAAGGTAGGAAACAAGTTACCACCATGAACTAGCTATAAATAAAGACAAGGCAGCTCAGGTGGGTTGAAGTTCAGGCTTTATGTGCCCCAGGCTGTCACTGAAGTACATGTACTTGTTCTTAATTTCAAAGGGTGTTGATCTTCCTCATTAAGCAGGACATGTTTTCATTAAAAATGGGAACTTGGGGGTATTAAGAGACCTTGCTCTTCCACCAGCTGCTGGAGAAAACATTCTCTTGAGAAAGACATTATACTAAAAGATATTATACCCAATCAGATTTTTTATTAATGAGTCTTCTACTTACCCCTAAATCATTATTATTGTTTCTCAGATGATAGGTCTCATCTAAATATATTGAAATGATTTTCAAAGGAGCTCAAGTTAACTTCTCTAGTTATTAAAAGCTGACTTGAAATGCTAAACTATTTGGGTAAATCTGTTCATTAGTGGTACTCTGTTAGATGAACCTGGGCCTTGAGAGTTAAATTGGGTAAAGACAGAAAGAAAAAGGTCCAAGAACTTTAATTGCCAATACAATAATTTCTTCTCCTTGGTAATTTGTATCTTTCCTTCATCACAGATAAAACAAAATCGCTGGCACTGAAACCAGCCTATTCCATTCCTTCCAAATTTGGGTATCATACTACATAAGCCAAGCAAATGATTCCTGATCTAAGACATAGGATATTCTTGATAGCCAAGACTATGCTTTCCCCGGGGTCTATTATACACAGGATGTGCCAGTTACCCCCTATTTCTAATAATGTCATATTGATGAATTAATGTCAAACAAGCCGAGGGAGAAGCAGAACAAAAAACTAGACCGATAGGAAGAGGCAGTGGAGGGACAGAGACAACCATCCCTTTTCTTCCTGGAAAACAGAGATAGCGGCCCTGGCAGAGAGCAACACCCTGACAGCCCTTGAACAAACATGCACAGAGAACGGCTGCCCTTTCCCCAGGGATTAAGCTGGATAGTGATCCATCCAGATGTGAGAACACCGGAGACTGGCCTTAAAGGGATACCAAAGCCTGACACCCCCCCACACGTGCTGCAATGAGCTACTGATTTCCAGGTCCCCTTCTTGCTCTCTTGGCTTGAAACATCTCCTCTTCCTTTTCTCCCACCTTACCCAGGAAACAGGTGGGCAGAACCTCCTATGGCACCAGTGGCCCTTCCCATTGGAAGTCTTAGTTGGGGGTTGTACCAACCCACAAGTAGCCAAGAGGCCATCCGCCCCTTTCCTGATGCCTTTCTCTTACTTTCTAGTAAAGTTGCCTCTGCCTCACTTTTCCTGCTTCATCATTCCTTATTAAATGAGGAAACAAAAGGATCCAAGACCCCTAGACAGTAGCCAAGCCATTAGAATGCATTTTAGCAGGACAGTGTTGATAGGCCACATGTTTCTGGAAAAAAAAAAATTAACTGAAGAGGTGTGCAGAGGTTTTGTCTGTGGTCTTAGGGCCAACAATTGTGTTTCAAAGGTCCATTGAGAGCAGTAATATAATCATGCAGAATAATTTCAGGAAAGTAACTGACCTATCTCCAGATACTTTTGGAAAGAAGCAATGCTCAAAATTCCTGCATTCCAACTATGTTCTGTGCAAGCAGCTTTCACCTTCTGTTAGGAAAAGACTAACCTTTCATTATTAGATTTTTTAAAAGAAAATTACAACTCACTCTGCTCTATAATTGCTACAGCAGAGTTATTAAAATTCCAAACTTATGTAATATTATCATAAAATATGGCATTTTTTCTCAAGAAAGACACAAATTGGATTTGAGCTTATGCACTGTAAAACCCAGATGGTTTGCTAAACTACTCAGACATCCTCCAGTTCAAAAGTTAATTGAACTGAAAACTAAAATTTTTTGATAATTGATATGCTTTAAGGGACTTGGGCAGAATGATAAATTAGTCTCAAGCAGGAGGCGTTAATAGAGAAACCATGGCAATTGGTCAGTGAATATTGGCAAAAAAGGATAGGTAGGTAGGTAGGTAGGCGGTTAGGTAGGTAGGTGGGTAGGTGGGTAGGTGGGTATGTGGGTAGGTGGTAGGTAGGTAGGTAGGTGGTTAGGTAGGTAGGTGGGTATGTGGGTAGGTGGTAGGTAGATTGGTAGATAGGTAGACACATAGATACATAGATAGTATGACAGATAAATGAAACATTACCTGGGTTTCCCAGGGTAAAGTTGTTTTTCTTTCTCCATTTTTTTACTCACAGGTATAATATCAGTTATTATTTTACTCAGTTTAAATTGTTCTAGAATACAAAATAAAAGTTTTAATTGTACATTACTATTAGTTTTCAAGTTCTAAATGTATTTTTCAAATTAAATCACAAATCACAGACTTTTTAGAGTTACGATCTCCTTCAAAAAAAATTACTGTCGCAAAGATATTCAAGAAACACACTTGAGTGGATTTTTTCAGCCATGCTACTCAGAAGTTTTGGAATTTCTAGAATTTAAGACTGAAAAAGCATAGTGTAAATGAACTATATATATATATATATATCAAAGGAGCTCTTCCAGAAAAATGCCTACACCAGCATAGCATATACCAATACAAATGGCCTCATTCATAAGTATTAGCATTATTATCTTATCATGATAAAGCTTAACTCATAAAAGAGAGCCTTCTATTTTCAAATAATTCTTTTTAATAAGTTTTTTATTGTGAGAATACTGTACAGAGGAGGGGTTACAGTTACATGAGCAAGGTAATGAGTGCATTTCTTATCAAGCATTGTTGTCTCCTCTTTAATCATTAATGTAAATAGGAAGGAACATGGAGTGTTCAAAAAAATCCGGTTCTTAGCATTTAAAGAGAAGTTTATATAAGCTTTTTTTAAAAAATTTGCAGTGCTAGGGATTGAACTCTGGGCCTTTCTTATGCTAAGTAAGCACTCTACCCTACATACATATATTATCACCCCTCATAAACATTTTTGAAAATCTCCTTGCATTTCCTATTTCTTACAGATAATAGACTACTCAGTAGTCTAGAACCTTATAACAAATACACCATGTTGGGATAGCTGTGTATCTTCTAACTTATAACTTGGAGGAATGCAAAGATAGATATGGGAGGACTTTTGCTTCTGAAAAACTTACAAACTACTTGGGGTCCCAAGCAAAAAAAGCACATTCTTCTAAATTATAAGATGTAAATTCATTTTAAATATATAATAAATAGGATAAAATTTTGAGAGGAATGGAAAAACCAAGGATTAATGTTTATTGACTACATTATTAGAGATTTACCAGTTAGCACTCTCTCTGAATCATCTCATGGGAACCTCAACACAGTGATTGTTTGTTTGTTTGCAAAGTTCTGTGTTCACAATGAGGAGAGGTAGCTTGATGGAGACCTTTGGAGATGCAAAGCCAGAACTTATCCCATGCAAGCACTTCATCACAAAAGGGGATAATTTCTCCTCACTTACTTCAGAGTATGATCCTAAAGTTCACACTGCCATAAATAGACACATGGGGTAGGCTGAGGACTAGTATTAATATGTTGAAGTAGAATTCTAGAGACAATGCTTTAAGTTTGTCTTCAGATAGACTATTATTTATCATATGCTAACTGTGCTAATTGCTCCATATGAACTGTCATATTTTACCCTCCTGCCCACCTCACAAATTAAGAACTGGTATTACTTCTGAAGTAGAGCAGCAGTGGTGAGTTTTCCAAGGAGATATAACCAGCAGCAGGTAGAGGAACAGACACAGATAGGCAGTCTCAATCACAGAACCTGCACCCTAAGCCGCAGTGATACTCACCATGCATGTTTGTTTGTTTATGACATATCTGCTTAGAGAATATTGTTATGCTAACCTTTTTGGCAGTACAGGGTTTCGACTCAGGGCCTTGTACTCCCTGGGCAGGTACTCTACCCTTGAGCCACCCTCCCCCCTCCAGGCCTTACTCTAACTCTTGACAGATGTCATAAAGAGGCACTTCCTCTCTCAGTGCATGGCACAACTAACAGTGAAATCCACTGTAGCAAAGTGAAGGCGAACAAGAGGAGAAGGCCATGGAAAGTGCAATCGGTTTTCCATTGATGCTGAACGAAGTGCGGCTGCGATAAAAGGCATGATTGAAGCAGACGAAACCATCAGGATCCGCTGGGGTGTTTCTGTTCTCTCGTTTTCGAGATGGTGTGGAGATGGTTGGGAAGAAAGCAATGCAGATCTGGAGAGCGGAGTCGCAGGAGATGGGAGGCAGGAGCAGATTCACTGCTTATCCCAAAAGGATATGGTGAGGGTCACAAGTGGAGGCAATATTTAAGGATTATATCTTCTCGGGAAAAAAAAAAGTATTGCGAAAAGACATTTTCATCTCAGAACGATGAAAACTATACTTATATGTATTGGTGTATTTGCAAATGCACATGGGGAAAATATGGAAGAATGCATACTCTGACACAGATGCTTAGAATTCAACAAATTACCCATGCATTCCCAGACCTCCTTACGAGCAGTTGAAGACACATGTGATATTCGATTCTGGCCAATCAGGCCTATGTAGGGATATGATAGGCCTGGGCCTTACATCCCACCCACTCCTTCCCTGCTACCACCTCCTGGGAGCCCTGAACCATGCCAGCTAGCAGAGGGAGAGGTGAGACTGTCACACTGTCAGATGGTGGCAGAAAGGGCAGAAATAAATCTTTATTCAATGTGAAGCAAGCCATTGAGAACCTGGTGTTTATTGCCCACAGATCGAACCATACTGTCTAATATCTAACTTCACACTAAAAATATTCAACTGTCCCTATCTCTGGAGAGAAGAAGGTTAAAGTTATTAATTGTGTATATGTCTGCATTTCTTAAAGATGTATAATGAGCAGTCCTATGATAATTAATAAAGCAAAAGGTATACTAGTTTTGGAAAAAATAACTGTTAAAAAATTGGGGTATAATACATTTAAGTGCTAAACTGAAAGGCCTCTGCAGTACCATTTGACTAAATCATGTTAAGGCTGTATGCAAAATGCGAAAGAAAAGCAGTTCTTGCCCCTAAATAGCAGTGCCAAATTAAAGGAGAGGTCTCTATGAAGGCAATTAAGACATAAAAATCCCACACTGCTTCTAATTAACTCAGCCTTAAAACGAGAAACTAGATGCATCGTGTGACTCTTGAGTTCGCAACAGTTCCTTTCATGTAAAATCTAGTCTCCATGCCAATTTTACAAAATTGGGATTTTATCTCTGGAATGTGAATTTTAAAGCACTTCTGATTAGAATAATTACTACGAGAGAGATAGACAAAGGAGACTGGAAAAGAAAATGCAGGTGAATTGGGGGATACCCAAGCAAAGAATTCAAGTCCTCACAGCCTTTACCCCGCTCTCTCCTCAGAATCATTGCTTCACCTGAAAACCAATCACTCATTCAACCCTCTTCCTTTCTGACTTCTCACCCTCCTCCTTCAGGGTTCATGTGGCTTTGACCACCTGCAGCTAGTGTGCAGGCCCACAGCTCTTTCTTACACGCACATCCTAGCCTTCAATAGAGTGAGCTGGCCCAAAATAGGCCTATTTATTCCCTAAATATGCCTAGATCACACATCTATGCATCTTACATCATTCAGGAGCTCAATTTAATAACTATCCCTGTCTCAATCAACACAACCCTCTCACCATTAACACCAGCACTTTCCATCCCTAACCCTGAAATCCACACTGGCTCCCAATACCCTCTAATAATTCAACATGACGTCCATTCTTCTCATTTATTCTGCCTACACAGTTTTTTTCAACCAGATTTATTCTGTGGCCATAACAGTATTATCTCTTTATCCTTCATGCTTGAAATAGATAATATTTTATTTCCAAACCATGGAATTTTCAGTCATCACTGTTGTGTTATTCCTAACTAGAGAGCAGGTTTTGTAAAATTCCAACTCCCTGAAGTGTTTGCCATATAGACCAGTGTATTCCCACAATATTCCATATTAGCCTTAAAATAACATAGAACCTCTACTTATCAGGAGAATTTTTCTCTTCCTTAGTTGCCTGGGAAAGGAATCTCACTGATTTGTTTGTTCAATCAAATACTTTATACTCCCACTGATTCTTTTTTTTTTTGGAGAACCATTTGAAAGTAAGTAAATGTAATATTATCTGTATAAATTCTTACATAATTATCCTCAAAATATCCCTTAAGATGTTTCTTTTTACTTAATCTACAACCTAGATAAAAGATTATATATATAAACATAGAAACATACATTTATGTTTATATAAACATATATTTATGTATATAAGCATATATAAATGTGTTTATATAGTTTATATATACATGTTTATATATTATATATATACATATATACTGATATATATGGTACCAAGAGGTACCCAAGAGCTTATAACTACTTTGTGCTTAATATGGCTACTCTAGATGAAGATGAGTAGTCAATGTAAAATACAGCCAAGTTTCTAAGATTTTATTATAGAGATAAGCTATATAATTAATAATTTTATGTTAGTTACATGTTTAAATGATATTTTGATATTAGATTACATGTTTAAATGATATTTTGATATTAGATTAAATTTATTTCACTTATTTTTTCTCTATGTATTTTAAATATGGCTGCCAGAGCTTTCATATTTCTGCTGTTACTATAACTATATATATATGTGTATATATAAAACTACTTCCTGTAAGTAGTTGAGGACATTTTCAATTCATGATAATTTCTCACTTGAGGGATTTTTTTCAGATATCAGTAACATGAATTGTGACTCAGTCAGTCCCTGGTGTCCTTGCCAGAGGCCAGCAATTACAATAGAAAATGTTTACTCTCTCCATTGATAGCTAAGACTGAGCTCTTAGCCAGGCACCAGTGACTCATGCCTGTAAGCCTATCTACTCAGGAGGCTGAGGTCTAAGGATCACTCTATAATGCCAGCCCAGGCAGGAAAGTCCATGAGACACTTATTTCCAATTAACCAACAAAAAAGACAGAAGTACAGCTGTGGCTCAAGTGGTAAAACACTGGCCTTGAGCTCAGGGACCAGTACCCAGGCCCTGAGTTCAAGCCCAGGATTGTCACAAAAAAAAAAACTACAGATCTTAAAAATTGGGGGCCTAGTGCAGGTGGTATTTGCCTGACTAGCCAAGTACAAGGCACTAACAGTAAAACACATACACATACGTGTGACGAGGATTGGGCTGGTGGGGTACTGGAAACCGATTTTTCTAAAATTTAGAGTTTAAATAATTTAGAAACTGGACTGTGCTCTCCATCACAGGTGTATATTGGTAAAGACTGACCAGGAACTTTCTGGAAACATCAGAGAGAGGACTGTCTTCTGGAAAGACGGCTGACTTATAAGAACAAATCTTCTTTACATAAATACTTAACCACACTATAAAAGTTCTTCACATGACTTAACTCCTGCTTGTCTTCATTCAAAAAAGAAGATGAGATTTTCGTATACAGAGTGATTATAATATGGTTTTTCCCCTTTCTCTTTTTATAAGACCCACTATTTAAGTTGTATTCCGGTTCATATAAGGGGTGATGATAATAAAATTGTAACTTAAAATGTTGGAAATTTTAGACAGATTCATTAGTCAAGAATGACAGATTGCGATTTCCTGACATTTCACATTCTCGTGTGTGGGCTGAATGGATGTCACATGGTTTGCTACTGTTAGAACTTCCCGCACACGTGTGTCTTACTCAATACCAAGTCCTGGCTGGGCTGTGGACTCCTGAGTGGTTTGTTCAGGACAAGGTCTTATATTCTATACATCCCCAATTACTCAGTCATTCACTCAACATATATTTTCTGAATGCCTGCAACATGACAGATAGTCTTTTTTTTGGGGGGGGGTCCGGTTGTGGGGCCTGAACTCTGAGCCTGGGCTCTGTGCCTCAGCACTTTAGCTCAAGGCTAGCACTCTACCACTTGAGCCACAGCGCCACCTCCAGCTTTTTTCTTTTTTCTTATGTGGTGCTGAGGAATCGAACCCAGGGCCTCAGGCATGTAAGGCAAGTGCTCTACCACTGAGCCACCTTCCCAGCCCCGACAGATAGTCTTAAAGACACTAGAACAGCAAAAAACTAACTTGGGGTTTATAAAACAATGTTCTGGGGAATGAAAATAACTCCAAATACTTGAGTAACTCCAAAGGTACTCTGGAATTCACACCTTTGGAATATATTCATAAATTTATTACTATTTATGAATACTCATGAGTACTTATTTATGATAATACTATTCATATTCACATTTAAATTATGAATATTAGTCATAAATAATATTCTATTATTACGTGAATTCCAGATACAGACTGTTTTGTAACTGGGGTACCAGTTATCCCCTTTGGAGGTGGCTAACTCTTTACCAAGTCCAGGTCATAGTCAGGCTTAATGAGATGGCTGCAATGTGTGTCCACTGTCTTCCCAGGCCTCCCTCCTCAACAGCCTCCAAGCTGTAAGAAGTGAAGTATGACTGCTCCAAATTGCAGCTTTGCTGAGGCTTGCTGGAGAACCCTTGATGAGACCCCCATTTGCTGTGGGAAATAAAATTAAATCGATGTCAGGAGATGACTCTCTGCATTTTCACCTAGGGAATGGCAGCCTCTAGAAGAAAAGATGCTTGAATGAGGGTTAGGGGTATAGCTCAGTGGTAGTGTTTGCCTGCTATGTAAAAGGCCCTGGGTTCAATCCCTAGTACAACCCTCCCTTCCCCCAAGTTACAATAATAAACAAGTTATGAGAGTCAAAGACAGATACCTCAAGAGAGAATTAGAAGAACTGTCCAAGGTCATGATTTACCTTTCAAATAACAAAAGTATGGTAGTTCAAGCCTGTTATCCCACACACAATCCTTTTATTGAGGGGGAGAAATAATCTAGATTTCCATACTAGCTTAGCTACTTGAGACTGTGTGTCTCCAAAAACAAACAAAAAACAAACAAACAAACAAGTAAAAGACTTCGGTGCCTTTAAGCCTCAACTTCACCTCCTCTCTCCAGACAGGCTTTAGTTACATTCAGGAAGCACTCCCTCCCCTCCCCCCCACCCCTCCCACCCCCGCTCCACATGTTCCATTGAGAAGGGGTAAACATGCCAGATGCCATGACCCACTTCTGACATTCTGAACGTCAGTGTTCCTTTCCATGATGTGAATGAGTGCGTGGCCTCAAAGAGAACGGAGGCATGGGGAAACTGAGTCAAGATTTCCCAAATGATTTGAAGCCTGTCTCTAATCCAAGAA